GGAAGATTTAAACCCTGATGTTCCTAGAATAGTTTTGTTCTCCCTTTTTTGGATTCTGAGAGAGCTAGGTGTACATATTAATCTGAAGCTCTCTTTTTCTATACCTTTTCTCGGTTACAATTTTTCCATTTAGCTATAAAGGATAACTCTCTATGTATCTATGTAGTTTGGGTTGTTCCCACTCAACCTTCCCCCCCCCCAACCCTGATATAGAAATAACCTGCTTTTATGAAGTATGTTTCTGAAGGGCTTATTAAGATTGTATTTTAAAGATGGTGTGGTAGTTGTAATTCTCCTGTTGGAGAGCAGCAATGCTTTTTTTCCCCCTGGGTGTTAGCTTTCTCAAGAAAAATTCCATTTTGTGAATCTGATGAAATGAACTGTGGTCCATGAATGGTTTTTTTGTTTACTTGTCATGTGCCCTCAAATCTTTCTTATGAAAGACAGGTAGATGGCACTTTCAAGATAAAATTGTAGTAAAATTCAAATGATATTTGCTAGAGAAATTAACGCAACAGTATGCAAGACTGTTGAGGAATTCCTTCATCCATATTGGGGAGCCCCAACTTGCTTGTAAATCTTTCTTATTTCTGCTTTACGGCTCAGTACAATGGGCTCAGTCTAATTAATTTAGATCATTATTTCTTTATTAGATTTATATCTTGCTTTTCATACAAGAGCTCAGGGGTACATATTTATTTTTTAGATTTTTATCCTGCCTTTACTGCTTTATAAGTAACTCAAGGTGGTGAACATACATAATACTCCTTCCTCCACCTCTTTTTCCCCAACAACATCCCTGTGAAGTGGGTTGGGCTGAGAGAGTGTCTGGCCCAAAGTCACCCAGCTGGCTTTCATGCCTAAGTCTCACAGTCTCCTGGTTTCTAGGTTTCTGTGTGGTATGTTGCGCTAAGAAGGAATAACATGTCCAAAGTCACCCTGTGAGATTCTATGCCCAAGATTTTATTATGATGTATGAACCAAAATTGTGATTATTTTGTTTCTGAATTAGTGAGAAAAATAGTTATTCTGGCAAAAAAGAAGATTCATTTTTTTATTAGGCAATTACTTGCTTTATGAGGTGAAATATTGTATGTGTGTAGACCAGGCATGTCAAACTCACGACTTCACGTGACATCACACAACGTATCGGGACTTTTTTCCCATTGTCGGCAAAGGGGCGGGCACGGTTTCGGTGTGACGCATCAGCCCACAGGCTGGCAGTTTGACATGCCTGGTGTAGACTAATACTAGAATCTGTATCTCACAAATTCTGTGAATTCTATAGAAGTTACCTTAGATAAAGTTGTTAATGATTTTTTTTAGGATTGGAATCAATATATATTGCAAGACTGATTTATTGAACAAGATTTTAAAATATAGGATAAGTTGAGATATGAATTTGAAAAATATTCTGGTTTCCCCCCAACATTTACAAACTGGGGTCCCCGAAATGTGGGTTAAAAAACTGACAGATTTTGAATTTGTTACATAAGTGTCTGATGGGAAAAGAATTCTCAAGATTTCATGCAACAATGATTTTGAAGAAGATAAATATAAATTATATAATCTGCTTACCTTTGTATATGTTGTGTGGAAAATGGAAGACAGAATTATTAATTATACTGGAGTAGGATTTCATGGCTGATATCTGCCTAAAAACCTGTCACAAAACCCGAAGCTCGACGCTGCCCAATAGTATTAGGTAGATTCACTGCTTAGAGAAAGAGAGAGTGAATGAGAGAGAAAGGTTAGGGAAAATGTAATAATAATGATGATGATAATAATAATAATTAAAACAGATGCCACCTGCCATATGACATCCTTTATTAACAATTGTTGATAAGAAAGACAAAAAAAAAGTCTGAATGGAGGACAATGCAATACCTGAAGATAGCAGAAGAGAATCACAATCAAAAAAGGAGAGAATCACAAAATATCAAGGACTGTAAATAGAAGGACTGTGGCAAAGTAAAGCAAAGGTGTTTCCATTAGTAATAGTGTCTTGGTTGCAATTCCAAAACCTCTGGAGCGCTACTTGAGCGCCCTCAGCACTGACAAAATCACCATCAGTCAATTATAAAAGGCAGCTTTTCTTGGAACAGTTTACCTCCAGTTTACCTCCAGCCATCAAACAAAATCTGCCTACCCGAGATCCTTAGGAAGGACTCAATAAGAGGATAAAAATTGCCAAATCCAGCCTAAATATCTGGCTTACTGTGCGACCAAACATAATAATCGGTCACAGCCAAATTAACTTTATTTTTGCACAGAAATAGGGTGTGCAAACTATATAATTCCTGTAACTGGATATTAAATTGTAATGAGGGAAAAGGTGCCCTCAGGGTTGAACCAGCCTGTCCCCTAACGCTCATCAGTTCTGAGGTAATCCACACCTGAGGAGGAACAATGACTGGAAAAGCCCCCTTGCTGCCACCCCCACCCCCCAGCCCCTTGGTTATTATAACCCATTTTCTCCCTTCCCCACCAGCCCTCTGGGGAAGCAGGAGAAGACTGAAATCCTCACCCCACTTTGGGGGTCTGGCTAAAAAGTGGGAAGGGAAACCAAACAAAACTTCAGGGGATCAATAGCTGAGGTGGATGCTGAAAGGCCACAACGCCAGAATTTAACCTCAAATCAACTTTATTGAAGGTG